AAAAAAAAAAAAAATAATAAGTATTTAAAACTACATCGGTACCAAGTATAAAATACTGTTTCAATTTGAAGACCAGGGACACAACGTCAACATTTACATCTCTTCTTAAATGGATGTTTGTGTTGTCATGCTTCTCCCCTCTACCGTCTTTCTTCTACAAACGCAATACAAACACAAAGAAAGTAAATTACTGTAGCTTCATTTCATGATCCCAACCAGTCTAGCAGTTAAACTGCGGTGAAAAGTGGATCACACCTGGTTTGTTTTCAACAAAACGGCCAAAGAGGCTCAGTGCACTTGTTTGGTGGCCTCTTTCGACTTGTCGTTAGCAGCGACGCTGGTGAGCCGCAAGTTCTCCTCCGCCTCGGCGTTCCTGCGGTCACGTACTTCTCCCTCCTCGTGGAAGCCGACCATCATTTGGTAGATGACCACGCCGATGAAGGTGCCGAGGAAGGGGGCGAAAACCGGCACCAGGAACCAACCGTTTCTGACGCTGTGAAAAGGACAATTGCGATGCTTTGTGAGCATTTCAGGTCAACAAGCGCTCCCAAAAGAACTGACAATGATCATCATTCTCAGGGAAACGTGCGCTTACGTGAAGACTTCTACTCCCCAGCCGGCCATTGCGGTAAAAAGACGAGGTCCGAGGTCTCTGGCGGGATTGACTGCGTAGCCCGAGTTGAAGCCCATCGACAGGCCGATGACCAGAACCACAAAGCCCACAGTGAAGGCCTCCAATCCTTGTGGGATGGGATTATTGTAGGGATCAACGATGGCCAGGATACAAACGATCAGTGCCGCCGTGCCAATAATCTGCAGAAAAAGGGCAAGGATAGAAATGCTCAGTTCAAGGAATCACGGCGTATTCAATGACTGCTGTTGCTCAAAAATCTTGCCTGGTCAAAGAAGCCGTTGACAAGAGTGAGATGTTTTCCAGGATAGGTGGCAAATATTCCAGCTGTGGCATTCGGGCCAGTGACATTGAACGCACCGGGACGGTCCCACAGGGCATCTGAATTGGGTTTTAAAAGAGGGAAAAATAACACGAGTTGAGGATTTTCATTCCGTAACTTGGTCAATAAAAATCAATTCATACGAAGATGTACAGTTTGGTGCTGAGCCGATATAGAATTGTTTTGCCTTTGTTGTGGGTTT